AATAGATGTTTCCAAAAATATTGATCTGTTAAGACAAATTGATACACGTCATTGTGCAAAAGATGGAGAAATAATATATTCGACAGTTTAGGAAATATTTGACAATAAGTTGCGCCACGAATTTTTTAAAAACCGTTTTATAGATCCTTTCTTTTGTTTCTTTTGGTAAGTATTTTACGTCGCTCGCAACTGCATAAAGTTAAATGAGCGCGCGGGACACATTAAACACTTTATAGTTTGTAGAAAATTTGGATATTTTGTCCGGATGGCGGCCGAAGCCTACTCTTATCAATTTTAGGACACTATAGATCCTTCTCGCACGTTCTCTGAGCGCTCACCTTGAGATCATCGTATTCTTTCTTGACGTGGTTGAGCTCCTCCTGGACATCTTTCTCTGACTGGTGTGCAATCATGGCGGACGCCATCGCCTGCTGCTCCTCCGGACGCCACTGGCCTTGACCTCTGCAGTCTTCGGAACCTTCGGGGGCTTTTTCTTCTGACCGGTCTTCGCCCCTGTGGATCAGGATTGCGTCAAATTATGGTCTGAAAACCGTTTTTCGTGCAAAGTGCCTTTCCCAAGAACACAACGTCAGACCAAGCTGAGGCTCGATCGGTACTTATAAGACCTAATTGTGTAGCAAATGCCACTAAACACTAATTTACTAAGACCTAAAATAACCTGTCACCATCGGTACTTAAAGACCTAATTGTGTAGCAAATGCCGGTAAACGCTAACTATAACTGTCGCCATCGGCACTTATAAAACCTAAATGCGCAGCAAATGTCACTAACTACTAACTTACTACTCAACTAACCTGTCGCCATCGGTACTTATAAGACCCAATTCAATTGTGTAGCAAATGCCGCTAAACACTAACTTACAACAACTTTACTCAACTCACCTGTCGCCATCGGCACCCATAAGACCTAATTGTGATGCAAATGCGCCAAACACTTACTACAACTGTCACCATCGGCACCTATAAGACTTAAATGTGCGGCAAATGCCGCTAAACACAAACTTAATTTACAACAACTTTACTCAACGAAGCTGTCGCCATCGGCACCCATAAGACCTAACTGTGATACAAATGCTGCTAAACACTAAAACTGTCACCATTGGCACTTACAAGATGTAGTGCATCAAAAGTCTTAAAACACTAACTAATAAAAACTTTACTCAACGAACCTGTCGCAATCGGCACCCACAAGACCTAATTGTGATGCAAATACCGCTAAACACAAACTTACTACAACTGTCACCATCGGCACTTATAATACCTAAATGTGTAGCAGAAGTCTTAAAACACTAACTAACCACAACTTTATTCAACGAACCTGTCGGAATCGGCACCCATAAGACCTAAATGTGTAGTTAATGCCGCTAAACACAAAAACTTACAACAACTTTATTCAACGAACCTGTCGCCATCGGCACTTATAACACGTAGTGCAGCAAAAGTCATAAAACACTAACTCACTACAACTTTATTCAACGAACCTGTCGCCTTGTTCCTCCGCGCCGAGTCCACTGCTGCGTCCGTCTGTGACGACGACCGGGGGATCTGCCACTGGGACTGGCACCACGGAGGCTGCCTCAGCCCTGGAGTCGGCCCTGGCTTCCCCCGCTCCTTCCTCGCCCACAGCATCCCCTCCTCCTCCTCCTCCACCTCCCCCACTACGGCCACTGCTGCGACTGCTGGTCCGAGAGCTCGGAGCTGGTGGGTACCCTGCAGCGAGCTCCCCTGGAAACAAAAATGATTAATAAACACCACCGAATGAACTGCTCAGTCATCGAGAGGGATGGGGGTTGGGGGTAGGGGTTGACATACCGACAAATACCCCCCTCAAATCCCTTCACAACACGATCGATCCCCCATGGAATGTTACGGCGAGCAAAATATGCTGTCGTTTACACGCCAGTGGATCTCATCTCTTGCTAAACCAGGAGGTGGTGTGTAAGAAACGATCCATAGATTGGACTCACATCCCCCACTTGTTCTACCCCC